TGGAGAAAGCATCAAATTTGAAAGAGTTTTGTTGAAATGTCAAGCTAATGATCTAATCAAGGTAGATATTTTAGTTTCAGAGAAGCTTGTGTATTTTTTTATAGATAGAAATGAGTCAGTGGGAGTGAAAAAGCAGAAACTCAGATGCTAATTTACTATGCAGAGCTAACACTTCATTATAATTCATCATTAACAGAAATACTGAAGAGTTTTGACGTACATTTTGTCTGGTATGTATAAATCTAAAGTGCTTTAATGGAACTCCTTTATTCTTTTACATAAGATATGTTGGAGTTGCATTTGAATAGCTCCTGCTTTATTTGTGATAAACACAAAGACTGAATCTCATTTTCTGGGAGAACCATACCTCTCCCATTACCCCATTGTATGCATGTAGCTGTAGGTTTATTTAAAATGCAATGGACACAGAGACGGAACATAAAGGAAGAGAGGTGTTATTAAGAGTTAAAAAAGAACCAGGGAAATAAGAATAGAGGAGAGGAAGAAAGACAGAGAGAATACAAGAAAACATAATTGGAATCTGCTTTTACAACTGGAGAAAGAGAGGAAAAAGTGAACAGAAAAATCACAGTGACAAAGAGCATATATAACTACAACCACGTCGCTAAAAAGCATCCAATATGATTAATACACTGATTAAAATATTCTACAGATAAATGTGACAATCCTATGTGAAGCTAATCCATCATTAGCTGCCATTGACTCTCTATGCAGACATAAAGTGCTGTATAAAGTATTTACCTCCATTCTGATGTCTTTTATTTTTGTGTTATGTTTCAAGTCATCAAACTAATAGAGAAGATGACTAAATACAAAAAGCTGTAATGAGCTCATGATTTATTTAGAAAACTGACATGATGAGAAAATGTAATTGTCTGAAACCAAATCCAGTGTTTTACGTCAATGGCCCAGCGCCATATTTGTCGGATTCCCCTAAATCAACGACATGAGATGGTTTCTAGCATGAACGGTCTGCTTTAGGTAAGGCTACAGCACCCAGCTAAATTTTAGTGCTCACTCTGAATAGGCCAGTCCAAAAACTTTGGAATTGCTATGATTTTTATTTTTATTTTGGAGCTGTTCAGAGGTGGGCGCGCTGGTGTAGGACGGATCATTGTCCTGTTTTATCAGGCTTCTGGAGTTTAAGATCCCAAACCGATGATGGGGCAACATACTGCGGTAGAAAACAATTGCAAAAACAACAATGCAGCCCATGACCCATTACACTACCGCCACCATGAAGTTAACATTTGTTTGACAGTCTGAAACAATTAGAAACACAACAAAGCAGCAAGAGAAGAAATCTGCAAAGGACCAAACCTTTTTCACTCCACCGTATCTATCGGGTATGGTTAAAGGTGAGAGGCTCTGGCCCCTGTTGGCAGCAGCCTGGGGGCTCAATAACAGCCTTTACCTTCATCCCGGCCCGCTCGTTCCCTCACCACCGCCTGCGTGACTGTCCATTCTCCCTGGCTGTGTTGTAAGGTCAGATGGAAGGTCGTCCACATGAGTCATCACTTGAGTCCGTGAGGTAAGAACAGACCGTGACAACACTGGTATGTATTTTTTTTATTCTTCCATCAACGTATGAAAGGACCTTGTTATTCATCTTGGTGAAGAGTAAGTATTTCAGAAGTCTCCCCAGGTTTAGTTGCTTTTTAAAATGCACACTATGGATTTTCTGCATCTTTCTGCTGTCTGTGTTAGAGAAATAGGAGGCATCAATGAAACAATAAATCTGCTGTTGGTTCGTTTATGTGATAATATATTTGTAATTACTCTTAGGTTTTCTGTTATTCAAAACCTGCTTCACACTACTCCCCTCACTTAGAGAGACAAAAGAAATATATCTACTGTCCCATATCTATACTTTGATGTAGCTATCTATCTAACCAGATGCATCAGTACAGATTTATGTCAGGAACTGCACGGTGGAAGAATAAAAGACGAAAAGATGCTGTAAAAAATGTCACTAGAGCCAGTATACAAAATTTAAAATACTCAAAGCCATTGTGCTTGTCAAATCCTATAATGCCTAACTAAATTCCACTTACCGCAGCACTGTAAAAATATAACAGCCCCAGAAGACAGCGCCTAACGTGCTGACAGCCTTAGATCGGTGCGTGTGTAACTCATTTGTTTGTCTGAAGTGAAATACGATTTACCTATCGGCCCGTGGCGTTGACGCGTGGTTTGTTCCCCACAGCGTGCCGAGACCAGATTCCTCTTTGGCTTGTGTGACGTCTCGCAGCTTTAATGCCACTTTGTAAACACGGAACATGGCCTGCGGATTCAGAGGTATGATAAACAGCCTCTTGTCTGCTATGACAGTGTGCATTTGTTTTGATCTTTTTTTGGAAGCAACTGACCTAGCTCTCAAAAAAGATCCAGGGAGCAGAGTACCCAGACTCATGGCTGCTCTCAAGCGAACGCCTGCCGCATTTCTCAGGCTTATATGCGCCGTTCTGGGTTTCCAGTTAGAACAGAATAAGGGCTTTTTGTGACACCAGGCCTCCCATTGGCTTGTGTATGAGGATGTCACTTAGTCTGAGAGATGCGTATGTATCTGACACAGCCGGGTGCCTCCACTCTTGCCTGATGACTGTTTTGACAGCTCAGTAATAGCCTACGCTGACAGTCAAAGCATCCCTCCACAAGTGAAGGCTATTCAACTTGTGCTATTCAGGATAAAACTCCCCTTTCACAGTAATTAGATTCTTGACTAAGATGATTTTGAATCCCTGGGAACCCAGCCGAACTAGGAAAAAACAATTAATCTGGGAAGGGAAGTGTATGCCTTAATTGAAGCCTGATGGAGTGTTTTGCTTAGGAGAAGGGCATCTTTTCAAACATCAAGGGCTGCTTCATTTACGTCTGGGTAATTTGTTAGAGTGACTCTGGATAATTTGCAGGAGGCAGGCAGACTGAGCCATGTAGGCTTTGTGTGTAGGCTGGAAATTGGTTCTGTTTTATGGTGTGATTATTGAGAAGGTATGCTGTGCAGTTGTTAGCATGAAACAGGACTTAAGGGGACGGTCTTAATTATAACCAACTAAATATGTCCGTCTTCCTCTGAACTAAATTTGAACATGCGCAGCTCCTAAATGAAGACATGTTTTATCATACAATGGAAATAAATACAATTTATCTTAACATGCATGGTGTGTGCAGGGTTTTCATACCCTTTGACCTTTTTTCACATTTTGTCATGTTAAATGTTATTGAAACAGGATATAATTATGGAGTAGGACTGAAGTGATAAATGACTTGCAAAAAATATCTAAAAGTGTGGCATGCATTTGCCATTGAACCCCAAAGAGTCATTCATCCATCTTCTTTACACCCTGGTGCCTATCTCCAGCTAATGTTCTGGGCGAGAGGCGGGGTACACCGTGGACAGGTCGCCAGTCTGTCACAGGGCAACACAGAGACACACAACCATACACACCTAGGGGCAATTTAGAGAAACCAATTAACTTGACAGTCATGTTTTTGGACTGTGGGAGGAAACCGGAGTACCCGGAGAAAACCCACGCATGCACAGGGAGAACATGCAAACTCCATGCAGAAAGACCGGGGCTGGGAATTGAACCCAGAACCTTCTTGCTACAAGGCAGCAGCTCTACCAACTGCGCCACTGTGCAGCCCTAAATAGAGTCAATCTATGACAATTTATAGTACAGCTGTTCTGAAAAGGTCTCAGGTTTGTTAGAGAACGTTAGTGAACAAGGAGCCTAAGGCAGGTTTAAAGTAGAAACATAATTGACCCATAATTTAAAAAAAGAACAACCACAACCTCACCAAAACTGACAAAGTATAGATCTCAAGTCACTCCGAACCAGTGGAACATTTGAAAGTGAATTTAAAGCAATGCTTTCTGTGATTGACACTGATATTTTTTGCAAAGAAAAATAGACAGATTGATATTCCAGATAGGTTACATATGCAAATGACCAGAAGCTGAAATTGCGATAAAGGTTGGCTCTACAAAGTATCGCTACGGGGAGGCAGAAAACCAAAGCACGCATTTCCTTTAAACTTTTTTATTTTTAATTTAGCAAAACATGTATCGTTAGAGTTTTCATTTTATCATACAATTATGCAACATTTTATGTATGCCTATCATATGAAATACAAATAAAGTACATTAAAGTCTGGTTACAATGCGATCACATGTAATAACAGTTCAAGCTGCACAAACACACTTGCATGACATTCTTTTCTGTATTTGCTTCCTGGAATCTTATATTCCTGTTGTCTTACATAAACACGGTCCTCTGATAATCCTTTGACCTTTGAAATGTTCACATCGAGTCATCTGTGTTTTTGCCTTTTATCAAATCACATCAGAGACCATAAATCCAACCTCCAGCTGTGTGCATGTCAGAGAACAGAACCAGATTAGAAGGATTTAAAAAAAAAAATAAATACAGGAATTAACAAAGCACCTGATTGTGTGTCTTCATGTTATTCTGCTAAATCCAAACCCAGAGTCATCACATCAGTTTGTGTCTCTATTGCACTGGCTATGAAAACCAAAAAAAAAAAAAAAAAGGCGGTCATGACGTTACATCACGCTAGCACAAAGCAGTATGTTGTGTAATCGTTATTGAGGGATTTAAATGTTGCTTCCCAACCTGGGGAAAAAAAAAAAAAAGTGGAAACAAGAAATGCAATGCAGCGCTCTCCTCATCTGACAGATTTTTGACTTAATCCCAAAGAGTTTCTGAGACTCGGTGAGAGTCACTCTGTTCCAGTTTCATGCACTGCTTCATTATAGATTACCATTCTTGTGCTTGGGTTTCTGTTCATGGTGCCCACTCAAAGAGCATGTTTTTCTTTGTGAGATGCACAGATACAGACAGCACCTCTTAGACTTTACATGAAGGATTACATCTAATTCCCTTCAATCTTCTGCAGCCCACTCGGTGTTTGCATCAAGATTAAAATGCAAACTCAATGAAATATGGCAGCATGGGTGTGGACAAACTGATTACTTTTATTTAAGGGATGTTGTTTTCTTCACTCTTTCATGCTCAATCAGCCTTACTCTCTCTTCAGTCTTTTACAAGAATAACATAATATTTTTTCCTTATCCCACATGCTCGTGCGCCTTCATGAAAGTATATAAAAGTCCATCCTCTGCTGCTTTAATCTCTGTCGTTGTCGTGCGTAATTTTGTCATTTCAAGCATGTTGAGATCAATTACAGACAAAAAGCCCCCCATACATACAAATAACAAAAAAAGTTATACAAAGTAATGCCCCCCGCTGGCTATGCGTCAGAGCTGCTTGAAGAATTTGTCACTTCAGTTCAAATTTAGTGCTCGTGTTTGTTCCTCTGCGTTCAAAGTGCTCGGCTGTGCATGATCAAAGAGTTGCCGTCTTTGAAGAGCAGCCCAGTCGCTGCTTGGTTTTTGTTTGTCGAGACTCCTTATTTCTCTGTTTCACCATTTGTCAGATAAGCAGAGTGCAGATGGAGATTTTTAGGGTTGTTTTCTGGCAGATTAATGCAACAGGTTTGAGTGTGACATGTATATGCATGATGGATTAGTCCGGGGGGAGCCTCTGTTTTCTAATAGATAAGCCATGGAAGTGAAGATGATAGTTAGATCTTAATTAGGTGCTAAATCCTTTATTAGGGAAATGGGAAAGTTTTCAGGGCTAACTGATCTATAGACCTACATGCAGCTATTTACATCTCTCATACTTTTATAATATTTTTTTCTTTTTGGCATTGCAACCATGAAGTCTGTTCTTGTTTTTAAATTTTATGTGGTAGACCAACACTAAGTAGTCCGCAGATGTCAAGTGGAAGGCAATCTATAAAATGTGTTGTCAGATAAGCCCCCCTTTACTCTCAGACTCCTAAATACAATTCATTGCAAGCAGCTATCTTTGAAATTTCCCAATTAGAAAATAAAACTAAAAATAAAAGTTACATTAAAAAGGAGTGATTGCAGTGGCTCTTTGAAGGCATTAGACATTTAGTAGAGAACGTTGGTGTATTTGGCTCTCAAGACTCAGCTATCTGTAAGTTACTTCTGCAAGTTTCTCTTATCAGCTTGGCATAGTTTAAGAATGTCATTTTTGCAAACTCTTTGCAAAGTAGCTCAAGCATCAGCTTTAATGGTGAGCATTTGTGAATATTAATCCTCAAGTTTTTCCACAGATTATTTGTTAGCTATGTGTCAACTTTGTATAGGCCATTGCAATACAGAAAATTGCTTTCATTTAAACTAGTCAATTGTAACCCTAAGTTAAGGGTTGTTTTCCTGCTGGAAGGTGAACCTCCACCTCAGTCTGATCCATCTTCCTATTAACTCCGATATATGGAATCACTTTTGAAAGTAAGACATTATTTTTTAAGGTGCTTCAGAGTAAAATGGGCTAAATACAAAAAGAAGCCACACTTTTCAGCTTTTAATTTGTAAAAAAATAAATAAATAAATTCTGTATCATTGTGATACTGCTCAAGAAAAGCAAATTTGAAAACCAGGCCCCTTTGTCCTTCCACTTCTCCTCACCTCTTTGTGTTGGTCTAGCATGTAAAATTCCAGCAAAATACATTGAGGTTTGTGGCTGTAATGTGACACAATGTGAACAAAAATCAGGAGCGCAAATACTTTTCCCAGGCATTGTACAATAATCAATCAGAGCTGCAGCTGATCAACAAGTCAACATTTTGTTTTTCTTACCGAAACCTAACTCATGCCGTTCACTCAATCACTCAGCTAGAACATATTGAGGGAGTTTTAATTCACACTAAATACTTTGTGAGAAGTGAGTCAGATTCAGTCTGATCCTACAAGAAATACTTCTCATACATCTGTGGTTGGGTGCAAAAAGTAAGTTATTAGCTGAATTGTAGGACTTATGAAAGGTCTACAGTGACGGTAATAAACCATTGCTGAAACTTTTATATCAACTACCTGATCATGAGACAAAAAGAATTGGAACAGAAAATTGATTTTTTTGTCCTCCTCTCTTGAAGATGAAAAAGAGACATGAGAGCTTGCTTTTCCTTACTGCATTTACACTCAAATGACAACTCTTCCAAACAATAAGATCAACCAAATCTCTGTTTCTACTGACAAACTAACCAAAGAACATGGCCTATCCTCAGCTTTGAGGTATCCACTCTATCCTTTCTTCGCCTATTGGATGCTCCCTGAAGGCCACATGCTTCAAGGTGTCAATGTTGGGTTGTTCTCTTGTAAAAGATGACAAAATGCATGACAAGGTGCCTTGGTTGGAGTGCGCCGGAGGCTGTTTGCAGAAGCTGCAGCGACATGGAGTCAGGAAGAGGTACGCGAGGATGAGGACCAAAGTCACCATGCAGCCTATCAGCGTTGTGTAACCAGTGTTGAACGGCTCTGCTGCCGGCAACAGCACGGTCACATTCACCTCACGTGTTCCATTCAGTGCCTGTTTGATGTCCACAGCGGTGCAAAGATACATACCTGAGTCGCTGATCGTGGTTGCGTGTATCTCCAAGGTGCCATCGGGAAACATGCTAATAAGTGTGTCATCCATGCTGCTTTGGGTGATGAAGCCCCTACTTGGGGAAAGCCATGTAAATGAGAGGTTTGTGCTGCTAAGGGATGTTTGGCAGTCCAGACGCACCCTGTCGCCCTCAAAGACCACCACGTCGGAGAGGAGAACAGTCACAGGCTCCGTGACTGTTCTTTCCACAGTGCAGTTCCGGAAGAACCGCTTGTCACGAAAGAACCGGATGGGTCTTTGAAGGTCCCCATCAACGTTGCACGTGTGCTCATCCGTAAAGTCTTTGATCGAGTTGTATTCTCTCAGATTCCAGTGCCAAAACATGGCGTACATGGAGCAGTTGCAGATGAGCGAGTTGTTGTGAGTGTACAGCCCCTGCTGCACCAACTGTGGCAAAGCTTTCACGTCGTCCAATGGCAGACTCGACATCCGGTTGGACGACAGGTCCAGCATAGCCAGAAAAGGGTGAGTGTGATCCTGGATGGAGAAAAATGGGAAGTGTGTGATCTGGTTGAAGCTGAAGTAAACCTTTTTCAAGCTGCTCAGACCGCTCAGCGAGCTGTCCTCCACTTGTGTGATCCTGTTGTTGAAGAGACGGAGCTCCTCCAGCCTCCACAGCCCATGGAAGTAGTGTTGCTCCACCATCTGAAGCCTGTTGGAGGACAGGTCCAGCAGTCTGAGGCCAGACACATTACGAAACAAGTTATGACTCAATGTACGAATTTCATTGTGGGCCATCCAGAGCTTTTCCAGTCTAGGCATCATGGTTAAGGTGTTCGGATCCAGCCAGGTGATGTGGTTGTGGCTGAGGTCAAGGTTGGCGGGAAAGGAGGGCAGGGATTGAGGGGGTTTGTGCAGACCAACAGAGCTACATCTCACTGTGTCAGACATGCAGAGGCATTTCGAAGGGCAGGTCTGCTCAGAGCTGTGGAGGACGCAGAACAGCAGGAGGAAAAGGACATGAAAATGTTCAGAGGTCATGATTCAGGGAGTCAGATCCTTTAAATTCTTGAATCCCCTCTGGCTCCGTCTGGCTAGATGATAATCAAGTGGAAAAAAGGCAAGAATATTAGACAGGGGCTATTTTATTTCCAAGATATGACATCTTCGCAGATATATGGGAAAACTACCTCACAAGGTCTACTAACTCAAATGACAGGTGAGGAAAAGAGACAGTTTCTGCCTAAAAAAAAAAATCACTTTGCATGAAAGAAGGCTCGCCTTAGGCTTTTTTTTTTTTTTTTTTTGAAGGCATTTTTTAAGCAATCACAGACTCCGAGTATATATAAATTGATCTGTTAATGGGTACTTTATTTAGGTTTTCCATTACTTGGTCATAAAAATGAAGCTCACATTTTATCCAAAGCTTTAGGGAATTTCAGTAGGATTATTTTCTTTGAAGTTAAAAATACACCTGGCTAGCTTTGATGAGAAATTTCCCCTTTTTTGTCTTTGAAAAGTGACTCAAACGATTAATCATCAAAACACCCTTTTATTCATTACCTTTCACTGAATAAATTCCTATATGATTTGTTTTTATCAATAAAATTATACTATACTATATATTATACTATACTATTTGTGGAACTCCTTGTTAATTTTGTAAAAAAACATTACAAAAAACCTACATGATATTGCAGTAGCATAATTCTCACCCTGAATACTTTTGGAAAACCCAGTCTTGTTTAGCTCTTGTTTAGACTTTATTTAGCCTTCCAGTAAGTCATGACTCTTTTCTGTCCATTGACATTAATTTCTGCAGCCACTGGTTGCCGTGTTGGACAAGGAGCCATTTAGGTCGCATCCCCACCTCTTCCTGGTTCAGTGTTTGCCGATTTAATTAGTCGCAGATTTACCTGTGGAATGTGACTCCAAATAATTCACGGAAAACTCGCCTATTCACAAGTGTCTTAGTAGAGCATATCCAAAATATTTGGGGGTAAATCAACTTGACAAGCTGAAATACCAAGGTGCAATTCTACTTGACATGTTACTGGCTGTTTGCAAACCAGGTAATCTATGTGCTCTATATATCTTCCTTGAGTCTGATTGCCTCTATTCCCTATGGCAGAAATAAGGAAGACTGTACATATTAGCTTCTTTGGTAGTGCAAAGACATTATCCACTTTGACTATCAATGCATACTAAGTAAAGGATTTATGTTGCCACTTTGAATGGAAAGGGAGGTTAAAAAAAACAAGTTTGCTTTTTGAGAACTGAACCAACAAATGCCATCTTGTGTTCAACAAGTCTCAAACATCCTTCAGACATAATCAACATGTTGGCCATTTGTTTGGGCAGCATCCCAAGAAAAAAAAAAAAACTACTTTGCGTTTAGCTGAAAGTAAGTGTTTATTGTTCAGATGAGGCTAAGATTAGACTTTTCTGCCACAAACACTCATAATTGGTCTTGTGTGAAACAAAGGATGAATATGTTTCAAAGGATCTTATGCATTAAGTAAGTTGGAGGATCTCGGATTTGCAGTTGTGTCCTACAGCTTTTAGATGTCTCTCTGCCTCAGCACATATGAAGCAAATAATTAGGTTATTAGAAGTACAACTTGAGGAGTTAATTCAACCATTTTATTTGCGTTTGCTAGAGCTCTGAAACATGTAAACACGTTGCAGGATATTAGCCATCGCAGAGTGAAATTTAACACCCGTAATTGAAGACGAATGGTAAATAATTCCTGTCTCTGTATTCTGAAACCTTGTGGAATGTTATAGGAGAACACTTAGTGATTTTCTATTAGCAATGGGTTTTTTGTGGGATTTTTTTCCCACTGACCAAATGTACTCAAATTACAAGTTGGGTTGGTCCAATAGTGTAAGAGTAAGAGCTATGAAAGGGGTTTACTAGGGTGCCAAATACATTTGTCTGTTTATAGACAACTATAAAGGAAGGTTTGGTGTTAACATATGTAAAAGAATATTGACAGGTGTTACCTTCTGCAGTCCTTTCTTCTCAGTTGCACAAATGAATAAATTGAAGCTCAGACAGCTTTCCCCTACGCAATCGGTATGTTTGGATGCAGAGGTCAAAGGGTAAAAAGTTCCAAATGAGTGAGCATTTTGACTTACTTCTTTGATTCAGTTCTTTTCTCCAAAACATGAAAGAAGGAAACCAGAATCCCAAATCCCAAAATAAACCGCCTAACAGCACTAACCTCCAACTTTCAAGTTTTTTTTTTCTTCTTCTTCTTCTTCCTCTTCTTCTTCTTATTCTTCACAGTCTCCTTTTTCAAACTTGTATCCCATTAATGAAGACGCACAACACTGCAGCTTAATCCTTATCTCCTTCTTGGATCCTCTGCTCAGACTCCGCGCCGCTCAGGGGATAATGTTCTTCCCTCTCGCTTTCTCTGCAGCCAAGTTTAGGGTCTCCCTGCTGACTTTTTCTTCATCCTGAATAGGAGTGCGACAAACATCCTGTGGTGCTTTGCAGTGTTTTACAAACAGCACCAAGCTCACTTAATCTCCCACAATCCCTCCTCTTTTCCTCTCTGTCATTTAGAGTCTTCCCCTCTCATCATTAAGTAATGATGCCAGTGGCTGCCCTTCTCTGAGGTTCTCTCTCTTTTTTTTTCCTTTCTATTATATTATTTTCCATTAAATTTTTCAGTGTTTTGCTTAGAGTAGCTTAGTAGAGCCCAGGAGTTTTTCTCATGAATTTTAGATGAGTTATCCTGGTAACCTTTCGCCACTGCTCTCTAGGGGGCAGAAATTTAGTGTGTGACTCTCACTCTGTTGGTTTTCTCCTAAATGTCTGAGTTACGGGAAAGCTCTATGGCTGCAGAGTAAACTCTAGTGCATTCCCTCCTCCCCTCTGTTTTTGTGGTCTTAAATGGGTAAATCCTTCCTTCCATCTTTCCATGCACACTCAGACATGCTCCCCAGTATCTTCTGCGCCACATCCCTGTTTCTTCCCCGCCCCCTTTCTGGGTCGCCAACATTCCTCTTTTTTCATAGCTGTGGATTTTCATTGGATCTATGCTGTCCATGCTGCTTGGTCATGGTGGTCCTGACAGCTCTGATTTCTGTCACAGCAAATTAGCTTTGCCTCCTAGGATCCACCTCCTCACCGCCAGCGCTGGCCCTCCACCTCCCTTCTTCATGAGCGCCCGTGGCTCCAACTGACTCCCACTCACTCGTTCACAAGGAGAATTGGGATCTCCTGGATGGGGGTTCACTTCTCTGGAGCTGGGCCCGGGTTATGGAGGCAAATGCAAGGGGCCACGGGAATGCTAAATTTAAGCCTCCAGTCAGATTTCTGTTTGGACAGAGAAAAAAATAAAGTCCCTGTTCAGTGTTGGAGAAAGGATTAGCGGTTTAAAAGAAAAAAAAAAAAGCAACATTTGGATGCATTTGTGTTTAAAGCAATGCACATGTTTTGGCATTGTGGCACTACACACAATCTTGTCCCCAGGCTAGTCATCAGCTTTGCAACAACATGGAAGATATTCACCCACACAAGTGCATTCGAGACATGTTAAAAAGACTTTTTTTTTTCTTTTTTTTTTTAACAGGCATTACTGGTAGCTGTTGTGGTTACGTGGGAGTATAACATGTTTTTTATTTATTTATTTTTTTTTTTTTATTAGTTTCTGTTTCCTTTTACCAAACCTTTTTCTGGACATCTTTTAAAATATTTTTGTATCATTTATTGTTTGCAAGCGTTACGTAACAGTGGCGTTTGTTGAATAGCTTGCTCCAGTACGCTGCGAGTGTGTTTCTCTGTATGCAACTGGGTCACATAAACCCTTTAAAGCAGAATGTTTATCTGCAGAAGCTCGTAATGATTCATGCTTCTGCATACGATGCTTTTAGAACGGGTCTATAATCATGCCAGAGAAACGTCAATAATTGTATTTGTTTGCCGCTTTCAAAAGGGTAACATCTTCTGTTCTCGCACAGCTTGGAGTGCTAATGTTGACACAATGTTTCTCCACCTTATTGTTTTCGGTATTGGCTGAAAGGATGTTCTTTTTGCATTTAATTGCGTCTCATTGTCTTCAAAGATCAATCTAATCACAAGTTTATGAAGAAGTATTTACGTTTTTGTGTTCTTTAGTCAGTTGTAGCTCTTGTTTTTTGTTTTTTTTGTTGTTGTTGTTGGTCGCCTGTAGCAATCTTGCAAAGTGTGTTTGACTGGAATTTTACGTCATAGTCCAACAAAAAAGTTGGGTAACACTTTATTTGAAGGGGAGTGAACGAGACTGACATGACACTGTCATAAACACATGTCATGAACATGAATAAGCCTTCATGAATATTTATGACTGTTGTCACAAAGCATCATTCGGTAAATTATGACACTTTAAAAATAATTACTGATATACATTTGTTATAAAAGTATTACTGATTGCACTTTAAAAATTAGGTAACTATGTTATTAAAGGTAAAGTTTAAACAGTAATGATTTCTTGGTTAATGTCAAGTTGTCATAACAAAGACATTTTGAATAATGTCAACTTTGTATTAAAAGTGTCATAATTTACCGAATGACGCTTTATGACAACAGTCATAAATATTCATGAAGGCTTATTCATGTTTATGGCAGTGTCATGTCAGTCTTATTCACCCCCCTTCATATAAAGTGTTACCAAAAGTCGACATAATTGTGAGGTGGAAAGATAATGATTTGTGATTTTCAACTTTGTAGCCAATAACGAAGGCAAAACGTGTGCAGTGTATTCATATTCAGCCCCTTTAAGTAAAAATCAGATGGATAATCTCTTGATGAGGTAACTGCTGACATATTGAGATTCTAGCTGAAATAAAGCACCATGATAAATATGCATACATACAGACATAGTATGTATTGTATATAAATACACATGTACAAATACATTAAAACAAATAGACAAACAGTAACAGTTTATTGCACAGTAATCTGCTGTTGCACAGATATGTTCTGGTTTTAATAGACTAAGTGCCTATTGCTCTAATGCTCTCTGCCATATCCTCTATCCCTCTAATGCGTCCATTGCCCCTCCTCTTGTTTATGAGGAGTTGAAACGTTTAATAGCATGGGGGACAAATGAGTTTTTTACTCTGTTAGTCCTGATGTGGGGAAAAACAACTTGTTGCTGAACCGGCTTTTGTGGTTGGTGATAACATCATATGGAGGAGGTGCAGATATCTACAGCTCTATTTACAGACAAAAATCCCCCCAAATAAATTCAAAGTTTGCATCAAACCATGCAGGGATCACGGTAAACACATGGCTGAAGCTGCCAGCTCCAAGGAGACTAAACTTGAGCATTTTGCCTAAATGCAATGGGTCAAAGGAATGTAACACTGCATGTTTAACACACCATCCCCAATGTGAATGAAGCTGGCGGCATCTTCATGGAGTGGAGATGCTCCTTTTAGGGACAGGGGACGTTATGAAACCTGAGATGTAGCAAGATTTATATAAGATTTATATAAAATGGAAAAGAAAACAAGAAAATCTTAATACTAAAATCTGGCAATAGTTCATTTTGACCATTTTTGAATGTAAAAAAGCCTATAGAATAAACAAATTGGACATTTTGTCAAGGATGTTATTGAAATATTACATTATTTGCTGGTTAATGTTGAGCATAGGCATGTAGGTCACATACCCACTTTTGTGATCAAACTACCAAATGCACTTTGGAGTAATTAATCAAATATTTTGCTGTACATGAGATTTATAAGCCACTAATAATCTTCTTGCATTTGTAAAACAAATAATCCTTTAACTCGTTCCTAAAACTACAATAAGAAAGGTGCCTGAACATGACAAATATGTGATCTACTAAATCTACTTCTGATAATAAATTTTCACTAAAACTTAAAAAAAAAAAAAGCTTTCCACCAAATCCAGGCCTATTTATGTAAGATTACATTATTTTTATACATTTGTTACATCACTCATTTTGTAATTGGCAGAATGTCACCAGGTTACTGGCTCAAAAACTTTGCTATGCTATTGGCAAGTTATTATATTATTGGCTTTATTACGCTTAAAATGGCCAATATTATTTCCTCATCGGCTGTTATTTATATATATATAGTTAAATTTTGCCTCATTTCCCTCCCTCCTCACAATTATCCACTACTTTGTTTTGGTTTATCACAACAAATCCTAATAAAATGCATTGAGGGCTGTGGTTGCAGAGGGACACAATATGGAACAGTTCAAAGAGCTTAAAGGATTTTGCAAGACATTGTGTATTCTGTCTGAATAAGGTTTGCTTGGATTTTTAGCATCAACAGATCCTTCCTCCTCTTTCATTCGTGGATTGCACTGCAGATCTTTTGCAAGGCCCTGTTTGCTTCTGCGTCTTCCTGTCTATGTGTCTGTTGATGGGCTCTATGGTGTAACTCCAGCCTGCTGTTCTGAAAAATCCCTAATCTAATCAGTATCTTTGCATCAAGCAGCTTCGCAAATCCGGCCTTCCTCCTCCTCATATATTTGATTAGACTCGGTGTATGCAGAACAGTCCCAGTCAGTCAGGTTCAGAGTGGACTTCCAAGCTTAAATCCTGACCTCGCTGCATCCCGCCTCCAGCAGAAAGTGATTTTCTTTTAACCACTGCTGCAGAAGAGGGAGAGAGGCTGGGAAGAAAAAAAATATATAGTTTGTAGCACAGGGAAATGCTTGCTCTTATCTTGCCCTTGAGAAACGGCAAAGCACACAGTCGATTCTATAAACTTTTACACTCTTAGACGCACAAAGAGTTCTTTTCGTAGAATAAAATCACGCGGAGAGACTTGCTATGTTATTATGGTTTTTATTTGTTTGAAAATAATGTTTACAATTTAGAAAACAAGCTTTTCCTTTCAGCTTTTTCCTATCTTTACTGGCAAATGACATGACAGGGAGGTGTCAGAAAAAAAAAAAAAAGGCAAACACCATGAGATACAACACAAAATACTGAGAAAACATATTTTTAGGAGGAAACAAAAGGTGTTAAATCTATCAAAGCATATTATTTTATGAACTAGCTTCAGAAAGGTTAGCTGAGAAATATGTAGATAAACATCTTTGGTCATTTCTGATACAATTTTTGTAACTCCGCAGCAGCTTTGCAGCCCCTGGAGGTGTGACATCACCACAACCGCTCTCTGCCCATTGTGAACCTTTGAACCTGATCATGTGCACATTTGTTAAGCTCTTATTCTTTTTTTTTTCTTTCTACAGTGTTTTGTCAGCAGGGCTTGCAGCCAGAGTTTAAAATATGGATGAGTCAGTGTCTGGATAAAGATTCACTCGGCTTAGTTGTTTTTCTCTTCCTTCCCTCAGTCAATTTTCAGTCTGGATGAGCTTTTGTTCTTCTTCTTCTAAAAAAAAAAAAAGGGGCGTTTCAAGCAGAATGTGATTGTTTGCTTGTCACAAATCACTGCTCAGTAGCACCACATGCTCTGCATTCATGTTGATTGCATTGCATTATCTGAGAAAATCCAGCCCTCAAACCCCCAAATCCTAGATGGATTTTGGTCTGTATATGTTGCATAATATTTGTGGCACACATTGCACTCTAGACTGAAACACAATATGATTCCATCTCCAGTTTCTCCGCTCAAGCCCAGCTCATGAATGTGCTGCTTAGTACAGTAAATGAGAAGAGACAACCACACCATCTAGTGGTTTAAGGCTCAATTTGAATCATAATGATTTAGTGAGCTGTTTTATTCCAAATACTGAGACAATGAAACACTAGGAGTAAAGAGCAAAGCTAACAAACACAATAGATTAATACAGAGCAGCAAGATTTAATAACTGAAAGAGCTTGCAAAACAATATCAAACACATGGATTAAAATCAAAGCTTAGACCCGATGGCAGTATGAATATGAAATAGCCCTGCAAACTGGTGGAGTCTTTTTTTTTTCCCTCTGCAATAGCTACAATACTGTGTAAAAGTCTTGCATGATCATCTTCTTACATTTTACATCATGTCTTAATTCTTTGTACTTGGTTTCCAAAGGAGTCAAGTTTTCTTCCCTCCATCCATTTCCCATACTTGGTTAATCTTAGGGAGGTTCCAGAATGAATAGCGACTATCTGCAGCCATTAATGACTGAGAGGATGGGTACATCCTGAATTAAAGTGACACACACAACAAAAAAAGCAAAAACAAAACCACCCAAGCACTTATTCATGCATAAGGTTAATATTGCAGAGGCTAGTAAACTTAATATTAATCTATGGGTTTGAATGGTGGACGTAATAATTACCTCACAGTGAAGGTTTGTAACAGCTTAGTAACAACTGAGTAATAACTTGGTAATAGATAACAATGTACTAATATTTTCTAAGTAATACAATACTTGGGATGCAATGAACTGGCAGAAACAGGTTGTAATCTTATGTTAGCTACTGAGTAACAGCTTTTAAAAATATGGTAGTACTATGAAGTTATAGCTTGTTGGCAGAAATTCTGAGAATCTTGTAATATCTCAATACCAAAATAGCAACTGGTATTAACAGAAATAATAAAGTAAAAAAAAAAAAACACACACACACATACTGAGATGTTAACAAAATATAAAACTAAACCAAATACCATCAGATAACTTAAAAATACAAATTACTCCAGAACTGGTGCTTTTTAAGGACATGCTTCACTTTAAATGTGACTTGAGGTCAATCAGACATCAGTTTTAGTTCAACATGTGACCCCCCTCGTACAGAGAGAGCTTTTTGTCACTGGGAGATTTAATTCAAAGCCATCTTGCAATTCTCCCTCGATACATCACAAGTCACTGATTCTGTAGGTTCAAGAGGAGCCACGACATGAATGAGCACCAGCCATAAATAACTTTTCCATGTTAGTATTAAAATCAGTCTGAGATGTAAAACCTGATTAAATTTTCAAATAGAAATATATTTTGAATCCTAAGAATGACAACAGTGTGATGATATGATCAGCTGTTATAGGTAGTTGTAGGTACTTTTTTAGATCATTTCTTGATATTATGTAAGTGACATAAATTATTTTTGTGCAATCGACACTTAGTAACAGGACGTGTGACATCAGTGTTCCAAAAGTAAAATTTGGATAATGGGGGGCTAAGCTTACTGATATTACAGCAACTATTCAGTTGCTAATATTTTTTATAATAAACATTAAAATATGCAGTTTAGAAAAATTGAGCATGAAAGTAGCAAGAACCAAATGATAAAGATAAATATAAATATTTTTTTTTTCTTTAAATTCGAAGCCAACATTCTTCTTCTTTGTGACTCAGTCCTGCAAAGTGATGACTCAACTGTTTCTGTTTCAATATGTGGTGATATTGCAATTCATAGACATTAGATGACATTGAAATTACAGACATATCTATAGCAATTTATATGCAATGGCCATAATAACCCTATATAGACACAATTGGGAAATGCATTGATGTGTCATGCAACAATTCTCTCTCAGGTAAATGTTAGTTTCAGATTTTACCATCAAACTACCTCAGCCCTCAAACTACTAATCAATTAGTTATCTCTGTAGTTCTGTGTTATTGCCAAAGTATTGACTATTATTAAGTTGTTGATGGAAGCAAGTACACCATTGTGACAATGTTATTACAAGCTGTTACTATCAGGTATTTACATAATAATCTTAGTTCTACGATCTTAGCAATTATTACTATTTTTATTGGAAGTATCACAGTATACAATATGTACAAACTACATCTTGCCTGCAGAGCCAAGTTATCTGCCTCTGCTCTCCAGTCAGAAATAATAAAATAATGATTGAAATCTCAGACAAGGAGTAAAATCTGACGTGGATGTTCAAATGTTTGTTTTTCTGGCTTTTACATGACCCACGAGCCACGAGCGTAACTCTTGATTAGAATCCGAGCTCATGTTTTCACATTTATCAGCTCATCTATAGCGGCATGCAGAGCTGAGGGCTCGGGGTACGGACTGCCCCACATCTCTTTAGCCTCTATTATCTCTGTTGATTGTTAACGGATTTCAATTAGGATTCACAGGAGTTAATATGATTGCTTGCTGTTTATCCTTTCTTGCTTCCTTCCATGGAAGCCAATTATGCATTAGCGGCAGTAGATGAGCGCTGGACGCTGCTAATGGCCCTGCCTCTCCCTTTGTGTTCACATTACTGAAGGATATGGCTTGTGAAATGAGATCGCTACTGACTACTGTGCTATCAGTGCTCGTGCCATAAAACATTATGGACCAGAACATAGTAAATTGCGTGACGTGACTGTGGGGTGGAAGGCTGTCAACTCTTTCCCTGCTCTTTTATCTGTTATCCTCTCATCTCCTTCATTCTTGCATTCCTCTTATTTTTATCTCCTGCTCTTCTGTCCGTTCACATGGGTAGTCTAGTCTCCTTTCCCTCCTCCCGGCTCATCTAGGAAATCTTTTCTCTTTTTTCATCTTTGTTGCCTGTCTTCTTCTCTTCTAATCATTTTCGCTTCCCTTTTTACATTTATCCTGCGGATTCTTTATCTCCTCATGTTGGTTGTTTACACCTCTCTACCCTGCTTATAACTTCTGCCTTG